AAGTACCGTTTCTAACGGTCAGAGGACATGAATCTCTGCTGTTCTGCTGGCCTTGCTGTTAGCCTCAGATGCCGACGATGACAAGGTAACAGCAATAACAAACTGGTGAAATCAGATAATGTTTACTAACATACAAATTCTGGGTGTCGCGTGTGTTCCCTTTCTGCATATGGAACAATGATAGGAGGACAATCAGAGTATCTGGAACAAAAACATATGGACAGTAAAACGATGTATATTTATAAAGGAACCACCTGTTTGTTCTGGAATTAAATATATAGTCCCTGCCGGCATATCTTGTTTTTTGTTATTGCTGTTTATACAGAACGAGTACATGGGGTGTCCAGTATTTGCTCTCTCCCTGTGCTTCAGTGCAATTTGTGAGTGCAACAAAGAAGGAATCTGGTGTTCACTAGTTCACTAATTCTTACATCATCTGCCCCAGCCAGTTCAGAGCATTCCGTTGCCTATTTCGCAGTTCTGCCTTTTAATTGGATAGTTTTGAAGCTGTGATAGACCGTTTTCGTAAAATTCGTCTTTCAGAGTTTGATTATTACTTATATCGACGTTATTGTTTCGTTAGGTTTGCGAAAGGTTCATCCTTACTGGTTTCAGTTCGTCGTTTTTACGAAAAGACGATGGATTGGTAGACAGCTGTTGGAGGTGATGAACAAAGAACTTCATTCCCTCTATGCAAATTATTTCGTATGTTTTTTCTTTTCTTATTTTGTTTTTTGTGCTATAATTTTATGTGGCCTAGGAAGATTCAATAAAACTTGGGAGGATCACGGTGAACGACGCCAAGGTCGATGTCAGCTACAAACTGAAAGACAGCGACATTGTTCGAAATATATGCCATAGGTAAAAGTTTTGCATTTACTACATTTCACGAATTATGTAATACTGTTGCAAGGAAATTTTGTGTCCTGAAGCTTCATGAACAGTTTATGACGACATGTGCTGTTACATTCATCCAATCAGTACAGAATTCTTATTTTTTCGCGACTGACGTGATCTTGCTGGATATTTAAACGTCATGCTTTTATTAAGCCAAGATCTTACGATGATGCCAGTGCTCTCTGACCATTAAAGCAAAGACTCCTGTTTGCCATGTAAATCGATCTCTCAGTCGCTTTCATTTTGAAAACTGATTTTGTGGAAGGGATGGGGTGCTTTGATTCCGATCGAAGCGCCTTATTTTAATATTCGCACCAGCCCATCTTTAGTACCAGGTTAATGGGTCATTACTTGAGTCAGAGTTCCAATTTATTTAAAGTAAATTTGCAGTTTCATAGTTTCGTGATAATTTATTAACCCAGGTTAGGAAGTATGTACTTTCCGAGTTTCGATTCTGTCGTAACACGTGAAGTTCGCAAAAATTTTTTACATACTGCTTTAATAGGCGCATAATTTCTCCAAGACTAGATTTCACATCCTTTTGCCTTCAACTGTTTTCTTCGGGAGGGGATGGGGCATTTAGGCGGACCACTTATCACAGATATTTGAACAGTATGCAGCCCTGTATGATTCTGGCATTATTTCCTTGGCTGGAACAGTCTCTTGCTCGACATAATTGTTGATATTTGAGGAGCTCGTACTCCGCTTATGCTCCGGTGTAAACCTAAAAATACGCTTTCCTTTACGGGAGTACCTTAACTTATGCATAGCACCAGTAAGGTCATATTACAGTGATTCATTGCTTGAAGTTGCGATTGGGGCATTTAACCGGGCCACTGCTGCGTTGTGTATGAGCATTTGCAAAGTTGGACGCCTCTAGTAATTGTACGGCCTACAACTATTTCTTGTTCATCACGAATGATGCTTCAGGTTTTAGTGTTCTTTACATGTGAACATGTTTTGTTTTGGGCAAGCCACTGCTCTATCCTGCGAAACAGTAAGATAGGCATATAGGTGCACCATTAGTCTCTATAGCAATGCAGACGTTGGAATAGCATTGCGTGTTAACCATTTTAAATGACCATTCCTCAAAACAATTGAGAAAAGGGCGTGCTGTACGTTTTAAAATCCTGTTTGTAGGGAATTAATCACTTGATGACATACTCTGACTTTCGAATTCATTCATTTAATTTTTAATTTTATTTCCATGCAGTAAATCTCAGACTAGAGGGTTGACGACATGATGTATGGCTTTCTGATATCTTCTCTCTTGTATGCTAGTGGTAACATGAATTACGTTCACTTATTTCATTCTCACCCTTCCGTTTTGAATCAGTTGTCGTCGTCATCGTTTAGTGACGTATGGACGTGTATAAAAAAACTGAATATGTTCACAAGTTTTTCTTTCGGTATTAATACGAAAGCTACTGTCTAATACTGTCATTAGTAGTACGTCTAGTTCTGTAAACTGATATGCTAAGAATGGCTACATGCATGATCAGTACCTGTAGTGTTTGCTTTAATGTCTACTACTTTTCGTTTACATGTTTTCTAGCAAAATATGTTAATACGCTATCTTGCAGGCATGAAATGCCTGTATTGGACCGATCAGTCAAAATAATTGCTGACACGGACGAGCTGATCGCCATAAATAAGCCCTGCTCCCTTCCAGTAAGTTTCCGTTTTTAAGTTTGCATATCTATCTTCGAAAAACATTTGCAGATACACCCATGCGGGCAGTATTATTTTAACACACTTATTTCCATAATGGAACATGAATTCGATCGGCGAAATTTGAAAAGTAAGTAGTTTCTGGTTTGCGCATAGTTCAGACACCATGCTCTTCTCTTGTGGTTATGCCACAGTATGCTGCACTCATGACCGGTTCTCTGACGCGTGTGTCTTATGGTTTCAGTTAATGCTGTCAGATGTTGCAGCTTAAAAAATCAGCATAATCTGATAACGTCAAGTTAAAAAAAAACTGACAGAAGCTCAGCCAAATTTTTTGGGATATTCCGCTTGCTTTCGTCCTCTGTTCTGAGGGGTATATGACATAATGAAAGTTCTCTATTTGTGAATGATCTTCTCAATTCATTCATGGTAGACGTCGAAAACTAACGTTATGAACACATTTATGATATGATACTAGAATAATGTGGTGCCTATTAGTTACGTACCGCATATCTGCATATGATAAAAAATATTCATTATAATATTGAACGAAAGGGTTTCCACTCCCTCTTCGTATTCATTTGCAAAGAGTGCATTATGTCATCTTTTCCATCAGGCAAAGAACGGTACCGCTAAAATCGGCTCCTGTTTCAGTTTTCAAGCTGGTAGACAGTTTTATTCAGACAACAAGTTATGCTGTTCCTCTGGCAGTCACTGCTGAATCTAATTCTTCTGACGATGCTCTGTACTCTGCCGTTGCCGCTTCGAAACCCGGGTGAGAAGCGAGGCGGCCTGGGGACAATGACAAAGTGGTAAAACTTGGCCATCTGCCACTCAAGGTATTTCCTTTGCTGAATGTTATAATGACATGGATGACATGGTGGACGCCAGTGTTACAAAAGGTCGTTGGGAAATTGAGACTAGCTGTGAAAAATCAGCGACAAGAACCTGATTCACGCCTTCCGGCTGCTGGAAGCGAATGCGCAATAGAGCGTGTCGAAGACTCACAGGGAGACGACGAACCTAATACTTAGAAACGAATCGGCACTGGTTCTGAACAGAGGAAACAGACACAACGATGACAGTAAAGCAGGTAAGTTAAGCTTCCACGGGAACGATGCAGACAGTGAAAGCTCACAGTCGTAAATTGGAACATCTCACTCAGAAGGAAGATCAGTTGCTAGTTGATGAGGAGGCAAGGTACCAACTAGACATAGTAGAATTCTCGTCTTCGAAGCGCCAACCGCTCGTATTCTGAACTTCTGTGGGTGGAAGCTATTCTACTCAGATGTCGACGTCACGACGTACACTCAGACCAGTGTTGGTGTTCTAGTACAACCCAAGCTAGTTGACAAGATCACTGAATGGAATGGAAGCCTTTCGGCGGAACACCTGGCACTCGTCTGACTGGCGATACAGTGGAACAGGCTTTCTCATTGTTACAGGTCTATATACCCAATTCAGGAGGAAGTATATAATCTATTCAAAGCGTCCACACTACGGAATCAATCATTCTTGTCCTATTTCGTTGTGCGTGTCGGAGCAGACACTAAAAAGTTAACAGATGTGATTGGAAAGAGCACCCTTTCAATCTCAGCTGATGAAATTATTGCACGTTTATGCAAAAAACTGACTGTCTGTTCTGAGCACTTTCTTTGAGCATCGAAACATTCATCAGTGTACCTGATATAGGGAAGATTGTGCGCAGAAGTCAATTATCGATTTGTGCGGTCTGACTTACGATGCTCTGTATTGGATTTACATTAAGAGAGGCGAACCAAGATCACCTTGTTGTTGACACATGCTGTGAGAGATAAAGTACCATGCGAAGACCTGGTGGCATAAACAACGAGAGGATCAGATGAGTTATTTTGTCTTCTACGAATAAGAAGGCGAGTCTTTCAAACAACATCGCACTGTGGATTGAACAGATCCCGCGGATGACCGCTTATGTGTACACCGATTGGAAGCTTTTTAAAAGCGGCTTATTTGGTTTGACTCTTAATGCTGCGGTTTAAACTGGGTTGGTCTGCAAGTTGGAGATCACAAACGAATTTCTTCGTGGACACGAGAGGTTCAGCTCACTGTCAGCGAGAAGAAGCATGCAAGGTGGCATCGGAAGCAGTCTGAGGCCCAAGCGAAGTCTGATTCCTGTCAAAAAGATCATTGAGGTACTGCAGTCGAATTTCCAGATTGCAAACAAGGTATTCTGGCTAATCATCCGCCGTCTTCAAAGTGGAAGAAAGGGTGGTCTAAGACTTCTGAAGTACAAGTCTTGACGCCCTCTTGCCAAGGATGAGGACATACTTCAGCGATGGAGGGGGTTCATTGAGGAACTTTTTGACTCAGACAAAACGCAGCACGACTGCTGAATAGCAACAGGCACCGGGTGTGAGTCTCAGTAGACAAAGTCACATTGTCTTTAAAAGACTTTGAAAGCGGCAAGGCCCCTGGAAACGATGAAATGCCGGCGTGAGATGCACAGAGCTTTAGGCGAACAAGGCCTGTTTTGGGTAACTCGTATCTGCAGTGATTGCAGTGACTACGGGAAGACACCGCTGAACTGGATAACTGTAGTGGTATGACCCCAGTTCAAGAAAGGAGAGTATATTAGTTGCTCTAGTTATTGGGGACTTGCTTAATGTGGCTTCGAGGAAGCGTCTGCACCAAGGTGTTGAAAAGTTGGTCCCGCGAGCGGTTGACTAAATTCGAAATCTGCCGTGTGGTTTCAGGTAAGGCCAACGTACCTCTGACCAGTTATACGCTTTACTCGAGATTGTTGAGTTATCGTAGGTGTTCAGTCGTATGCTTTTCAGGTGTCTTCTTGACCTGGAAAATGCCTCTGTCCGAATATCGCGCAACTCTCCGTTGCGTGCCTGCAAACATACGGAACCGATAGTCAGTTGCCTATCCATCCAGTCATTATTTGTTTATGGGAGGTACTGCGTGAGTGTAAACGGCTTTAGTTTGAAACCGTTCAACTTCAATGCAGGTCTCCATTACGGCTGCGTTCTGTTTCCTCCTCTGTTTGTGTTTTATGAAGATACAACAATCAGACGCAACCAGTGCGACGAGGGTTTCAGTGTTGAGACAGCTAGGTTCCTGTTTGCAGGCGACCTTGTTTTGTCGAAACCTTCTGAAACCGATGTCTAGTGCTCTCTGGAAAGACTTGCATCTGAGTACTAAAAATGATCGGCGTACGTGAAAGTGTCTAAAACGAAAAGTCTGGTTCTTTCTCCTTCTTCTGGTCGTTCCCTTTGCAGATAAATGAAGAAGTTCAAGTACCTCGTGATCGTGTTTATTGGTGATTGAAAATTTAAGAAAGAGGTTGACAGACGAATTGGAATAGCTAGTGGCATTCTTCCTGAACTAGCCTGAACCGTTGTAACTAAAGCAGAGCTGAGTCTGAAGGCTGAGCTCAGTGTTCAATTCGATCTTCATCCCGTATGCTCGCATACGGTCATGAGTCTTGAAACGTATCTAAAAAACTTTCATCTCGAGTACACGCGGCTGAAATGAGCTTTCTGAATCAAATCGCTGTGCCCTTGCTTGTCAACATGGTCTGAAGTTCATCTGTCCACGAGATCCTTGGTTTACGTTCGTTGTTTCCTTAGATTGAGAAATCACTGCTGCGATGGTCTGTGCACTTATTGCGAATGCTTCCAGGAAGGAAAGCGAAAGAACTACTAGTTGCTTATGTTACCGACCGATGACCACAGTTGCGGCCAAGAATAACCTGTGGTAAGTGTATCCAAGGAGTCTGTAGCAGATTCGAATTATAGTCTGATGAAACTCAAATGTTCGCACGTGATCATCTGCGTTGGATACACTCCCTTATGAGTTTGTCTTCGCGTTCTGATAGGATGAGCGATCATCGAAACAGAAATTTACCTGCTAAATGTTCTAAACTCTCATGTTGTCAGCCTCTTCCTTACATTTTTACTTTGTTGCTTTAGTACTTCATCGCCTTGATCGTCTTACTTCTGGCTTAGTTATCATGCCGAAAAGTTTGGAAGTGGATGTAAAGTTAAAGAGCCAAATCCTTTCGCGACAAGTGAAGAAAGAATACGTTTGCATGGTCGAGGGAGAATTTTTGAGGTATTTATAAAAGATTAAAGTTCATTGCAATACTTATGAATGTAAAATATTTTTCGTTTTGTATACAGTGAGAATTCTGACAGTTCCATAATGACAACATTTCAGTATGTATATACAATTTCATGAAATTGCGCACGATGTCTAACAAGACTGGCTTTAATCAGTCGGTGGAGCATCGGACGCAGAACCAAGAAGTCCCGGGTTTGAGCACTGCTGGGGCCACTCGCCTTCCTTCCTTCTGAGGATAGATGTGTTCCACTCTGTGGGAAAAGAGTAGGAGATTGGGCTGGCGACGTAGCTGCTATCGCTGTTCTTTAAGAATCAAACAAGTAATTCGTGACTGATGGGATGGAAATGGAGATCAGTGCCCCACTGTTAACTTCATGAAGGGAAAGGTGTCCGAATTAATCATCTAATGAAAATTTAAAAAAAAACCGATATTCCAAGTGTAAAAAAGTTTTTTTTTTCTTTCCTTTTATCAACGTCTTTATCGAGGTGTTT